GAGTAGAAGCCGCCTGCCGCTTATCATGCAAGTGGATCAAATCAGTCTTCTCGCGACTGTATATATTGTCAAGGACAGCACAATATATTCTCGTGTACTGCATTCATTTGCATTTGCCAGGGATAATAAGCTTTGTTTTAATTGCCTAAGTCGATCTCATCAAGTCAAGAATTGTAATTCTTCGAACACTTGCCGTCAGCGCAACGCTAAGCATCACACGCTAGTCCACCCGGAAGAGTCTAGATCGATTCCGTTGGCCTCCGCCCATATGTCTGCGGCTGAGGTTAATATATTTCCTTCGATTGATCCTCATGTTTGTATGAATATTGCTGCTGTCAGCCATCTTACTGAGGAGAGTGCCAACAATCAAGCCGTACTGCCAACTATTCTAGCTAATGTAATTGACACATGTGGCAACAAGACCTCATGTAGGATATTGCTCGATACTGGATCAACAATAACCATGGTAGCTGAGTCGTTTATCCAACGGATTGGAAATCCACGCACGCATGCTCGCATCTCAGTTGTTGGATTAGGTGCTAACCCGGCTGGAGTTAGCCGAGGTCGCGCTAGCTTCACTTTGCTTTCAAGGACTACGACTGCCTCATTGGAGGTATCTGGCCTTATTATGAGTTCTCTGACTTCTTTGATTCCCGCTCAGCAGGTCAAATCCACCGCTCCTGTCTGGACCAAGATTCCCAACTTACCGTTAGCTGACCCGACGTTTGGATCACCGGGAAAAATCGACGTTATTTTAGGCGCTGATCAACTGTGGAACATCTATTCTGGACATCGCCGAGAGTTTGGTATTGAATACCCCATTGTACTACATACTAATTTTGGTTGGGTCATTACAGGCAGCTATAATGATTGTGGCGAATCATTTACGAAAGCACAAGTTCACCACGCTTACGAAGATTTGGATTCCCTAGCTCGCTCTTTCATGGACATGGAACAGGTGCATCCGTAGCCGAACCGCAAGGGGATTAGGCAGCAACCTTCGGCCATGGCGAGCGCTCTGCATGCCACTGCCAGATTGGCGGCCAGTGGGGATGCGGCGGCTACAGCCACAGCGGCAACCGGCGACTACGGCGATCATATGCGCCAAAATCCGAACCTAAGTCAAATCCACCAACAGCCCCACCAGTCCCACCAGACCACCCAGCTGCCCGCTCACAGAGCGAGCAATTTTCTTGGGTCGTCGCGGTTCCTTTATCACAGCCAGTTCAATTCAAATTCGCCGCAAACGAGACGCTTCACTGCGGAGCGAGAGGGCTCGCCAGCATTCGCGGCTTCAACGGCAGCAGCTTCAGCAGTAGCACCAATAGCGCCACTAGGATCACTCGCACCACTATCCTCCATAGCATCGCCCTCATTGGCGGCCCAGCCGCCGCCCTTTCAGTTTCCTACCTACCAACAGAATCAATCCTACCGCTTTCAGCCGCGCGGACATCACTGCACCGCCAGCAGCAGCATGTCGCAGTCCGGCGAGGATCTCCACTCGCCCACGTATCTATCCTGGAGGAAACTTCAGCTGAGTCGGGCCAAGCTCAAGTGTACCACCGGGATTGGTGATAGCCTTCGCCATCTGCACCACCCTCCTGGTGGCGGTGCACATGCTGGCCCTGATGATCAGCACCTGTATCCTGCCAAACATCGAGACGGAGTGTTACCTGCACAGTATTTCCCTGGTCCATGAATCTCCGCACGAGCGTCTGCATTGGTATATTGAAACAGCGTGGGCCTTCTCCACGCTACTGGGACTTATACTCTTCCTGGTAGAGATAGCCATCTTGTGTTGGGACGAGTCGTACAACTTCATCCTGGGCAGGATCAGAGGATCCGTGTGGTCACCGTTAAAACTGCCAGAGGAATCTGCAAGCGCCCCATTACGAATTTGTGCTTCCTTTGAACTGAACGGTCGTTCAGGGGGGCCGGTATGTTGAAGAATAGATCGGTCATTTAGCATAATTGTATTATTGTCAAATCGCTCCTAGTTAAATGCTCATCATTGTATTGTTGTTCTAATCGTAGCTAGTTAAATGAACATCATTGTTTTGTTTTTCGTCTCAAAGCTTGAAGCTCACACGCATAGACGAAATTGCAGTAAATTTGTATTAGTATTGCAGTATCACGCGTTTTTCTGCATTATCTTTTCTGCAGGTTTTTTCGGCAGTTATGGTATAGTTTTTGACTCGCTCGCAACCGCTTGCAATCTGCCCCGCTTAATATATAGTTTTGGACTCGCTTGCAACCGCTTGCAACCTGCCCCGCTTAATATACATAGTTATTGACTCGTTCGCAACCGCATGCAACCTGCCCGCTTAATGTATAGTTTTTGACTCGCTTGCAACCGCTTGCAATCTGCCCCGCTTAATATATAGTTTTGTACTCGCTCGCAACCGCTTGCAACCCGCCGCGCTTAATATATATAGTTTTGTACTCGCTCGCAATCGCTCGCAACCTGCCCCGCTTAACATTTTGTAAGCCCGCTTATAATTAAGAAATAAACTCGAATCCTAGAAAAAAGAAATACAGTCCACTTAATTCGCCAACATAACAACTTTTTGGTCCTTCGAGCCGGATATTCTGCGTTTGAATTCCAGTTTATTTGTGAATAATAAAAAAACTGGCCGTCGTCATGAACTCTGTAATGCATCGGGAAATTCAACAACGTCGTGCCTGCAAGGGGCAAATAACTACGAGTTGTTAATGTTGAATGGTTAATGGTGCTTTGGAGTTTTCGTACAGATGTGATAATGTGGAAACATTGCAACTGAAGCTGGATCGTCTTGTAGCCACCTTCAACCACTTTATGGACCTCTCCGATGATTTAGTGGCATATAACCAGGAGGAGGGATATGAAGACCCTGGATTGGATATACCTGAGTACGAGGACAAGTTTTACAGAGCGCATGCCATCTTTATTAAAGCCATAAACGGGATGGGTGGTCAAGATCATGGACAAGACCAGTCGAACATTTTGCTATCAAGTACAGTGGAACGTCTATTTGAGGGACAAAACCAACTTCTGGAACGAATGAATACCTCATCGGGAGCAGCTGATTTAAGGTTTGAGAAAATTCGAATTCCCACATTTTCTGGCAAATACGAGGATTGGAGCCAATTTAGTGATTTGTTCTTAAGCTCAGTAAATAATAACGAAAAGCTTTCCAAGTGACAAAAGTTTCATTATCTGAAATCTTATTTAGATGGGGAAGCACTTTCCTTAATTAAACATATTGCCGTTACTAATGATAACTACCAAGATGCGTGGGAAAAATTGGAAAATCGTTATAACAAGAAAACGCTAATCGCTCGAACATTTGTTCAGAATTTTCTATCGTTGCCAACCGCTAACAATTTGAATATCGCAGAGTTAAGTAAGGTAATTGACTCTGCCGACGAATTTATTCGAGGCCTACACGCGCTGAACTGTGACAGCCGCGATGTCTGGCTAATTTATATTTTGGTATACAAACTAGGACCCGAAATCAAACAAGCTTGGGCAAACTGCAGTGTGTCGTCCAAGGAAGACGTCACCATACATGATCTATTCGCTTTTCTTTTTGCGCATTGTGATACTTTGGAGTCTTGTCAAAATATACACGTAATGCAACCCCCAATACCAGCCCAGAGTAGAAGCCGCCTGCCGCTTATCATGCAAGTGGATCAAATCAGTCTTCTCGCGACTGTATATATTGTCAAGGACAGCACAATATATTCTCGAGTACTGCATTCATTTGCATTTGCCAGGGATAATAAGCTTTGTTTTAATTGCCTAAGTCGATCTCATCAAGTCAAGAATTGTAATTCTTCGAACACTTGCCGTCAGCGCAACGCTAAGCATCACACGCTAGTCCACCCGGAAGCGTCTAGATCGATTCCGTTGGCCTCCGCCCATATATCTGCGGCTGAGGTTAATATATTTCCTTCGATTGATCCTCATGTTTGTATGAATATTGCTGCTGTCAGCCATCTTACTGAGGAGAGTGCCAACAATCAAGCCCTACTGCCAACTATTCTAGCTAATGTAATTGACACATGTGGCAACAAGACCTCATGTAGGATATTGCTCGATACTGGATCAACAATAACCATGGTAGCTGATTCGTTTATCCAACGGATTGGAAATCCACGCACGCATGCTCGCATCTCAGTTGTTGGATTAGTGCTAACCCGGCTGGAGTTAGCCGAGGTCACGCTAGCTTCACTTTGCTTTCAAGGACTACGACTGCCTCATTGGAGGTCTCTGGCCTTATTATGAGTTCTCTGACTTCTTTGATTCCCGCTCAGCAGGTCAAATCCACCGCTCCTGTCTGGACCAAGATTCCCAACTTACCGTTAGCTGACCCGACGTTTGGATCACCGGGAAAAATCGACGTTATTTTAGGCGCTGATCAATTGTGGAACATCGATTCTGGACATCGCCGAGAGTTTGGTATTGAATACCGCATTGTACTACATACTAATTTTGGTTGGGTCATTACAGGCAGCTATAATGATTGTGGCGAACCATTTACGAAAGCACAAGTTCACCACACTTACGAAGATTTGGATTCCCTATCTCGCTCTTTCATGGACATGGAACAGGTGCATTCGCAGCCGAACCGCAAGGGGATTCGGCAGCAACCTTCGGCCGAACCTCAGTCAAATCCACCAACAGCCCCACCAGTCCCACCAGACCACCCAGCTGCTCGCTCACAGAGCGAGCAATTTTCTTGGGTCGTCGCGGTACCTCTATCACAGCCAGTTCAATTCAAATTCGCCGCAAACGAGACGCTTCACTGCGCAGCGAGAGGGCTCGCCAGCATTCGCGGCTTCAACGGCAGCAGCTTCAGCAGTAGCATTAATAGCGCCACTAGGATCACTCGCACCACTATCCTCCATAGCATCGCCCTCATTGGCGGCCCAGCCGCCGCCCTTTCAGTTTCCTACCTACCAACAAAATCAATCCTACCGCTTTCAGCCGCGCGGACATCACTGCACCGCCAGCAGCAGCATGTCGCAGTCCGGCGAGGATCTCCACTCGCCCACGTATCTATCCTGGAGGAAACTTCAGCTGAGTCGGGCCAAGCTCAAGGCTTCTAGTAAGATATCAGCCCTGCTCTCAGGATTTGCCATGGTAGCAATGGTGGAAGTGCAACTGGATTCCGACACAAGTGTACCACCGGGATTGGTGATAGCCTTCGCCATCTGCACCACCCTCCTGGTGGCGGTGCACATGCTGGCCCTGATGATCAGCACCTATAACCTGCCAAACATCAAGACGGAGTGTAACCTGCACAGTATTTCCCTGGTCCATGAATCTCCGCACGAGCGTCTGCATTGGTATATTGAAACAGCGTGGGCCTTCTCCACGCTACTGGGACTTATACTCTTCCTGCTAGAGATAGCCATCTTGTGTTGGGACGAGTCGTACAACTTCATCCTGGGCAGGATCAGAGGATCCGTGTGGTCACCGTTAAAACTGCCAGAGGATTCTACAAGCGCCCCATTACGAATTTGTGCTTCCTTTGAACTGAACCGTCGTTCAGGGGGGGCGGTATGTTGAAGAATAGATCGGTCATTTAGCATAATTGTATTATTGTCAAATCGCTCCTAGTTAAATGCTCATCATTGTATTATTGTTCTAATCGTAGCTAGTTAAATGCACATCATTGTTTTGTTTTTCGTCTCAAAGCTTGAAGCTCACACGCATAGACGAAATTGCAGTAAATTTGTATTAGTATTGCAGTATCACGCGTTTTTCTGCATTATCTTTTCTGCAGGTTTTTTCGGCAGTTATGGTATAGTTTTTGACTCGCTCGCAACCGCTTGCAATCTGCCCCGCTTAATATATAGATTTGGACTCGCTTGCAACCGCTTGCAACCTGCCCTGCTTAATATACATAGTTATTGACTCGTTCGCAACCGCTTGCAACCTGCCCCGCTTAATGTATAGTTTTTGACTCGCTCGCAACCGATTGCAATCTGCTCCGCTTAATATATAGTTTTTGACTCGCTCGCAACCGCTCGCAACCTGCCCCGCTTATGTATAGTTTTTGACTCGCTCGCAACCGCTTGCAACTTGCCCCGCTTAATATATAGTTTTTGACTCGCTCGCAACCGCTTGCAATCTGCCCCGCTTAATATATAGTTTTGTACTCGCTCGCAACCGCTTGCATCCTGCCCCGCTTAATATATATAGTTTTGTACTCGCTCGCAATCGCTCGCAACCTGCCCCGCTTAATTTGCCAACAAAATTAAAATCACTTCCGAAAACAACGCCTGCAAATCACGTCGGGGTCACCATGAAAATGAATAAGATTTTTTATTAAATTTTATTTTGTGAAATGCAGGGTCTATTTTAATTAATAATTCAAAATTGACTTTGCTATAACGAAAAGGCACGGCGCGTGTGTTTGAGAGGGAGTTTCGGTTTGAACTGTTTTATTTGACTTAAATTATCTTATGCTACGAAAAGAAGACATAACGAGAGAGGGAGAGAAGAGAGCGGAGGCCGAAATCGCCTGAGGGAAAAAGCTTAATTGGGCCCCGCTCCCCTCTTTACACTAAAAGACCGGAATGACCAAACACCTGTAAATATCATTATTAATCCTTTTCAGAGCATTCCATTTTAGTTCAGTTACTAAAGGATGGTGCTTTTAAATATAAAGTTGTTTTCTCAAGGCGAGTATTTGAATGTATTTATTTTTTTTATTTCTTACAGGTATTAATATTATTATTAGTATATTCAATTGATCATCAATAAAATTAGATAATTGGACTTGTCGGCATAATTGATCTTTTTTTAACAAAAATGTTGTGTTTGGTATTTGTCGGTATTGCACTAATCCGGACATAAATTTTAGGTAAGCCTTAGACAAATAAATTAAAAACAAATTTAGAAAACAACTGATATGAATTTACATAGTCTATGTATCACCGCCGAAGTAACTTAATGAATGACACTGACCTCAAATTTATGAGAATTTAATGAATTTTGAAATATAAACTTATTTTTTGGAGTAATTTATAATAAATAATTATATTTATTCATTCTGAATTTCAATTTTCTAACTCTAATAGTTCCCGAGATGTCAGATTTTAGTTTTTCTCTATTTGTGGGCGTTAGAGTGGGCATGGCAGGATGCTGAAATAAACTTGCGCTGTCCCGGGACCTCAAGAATCCTCATGGTTAATCTTAACTGTGTATCTGTTACGAGTATAAAAAGGGAATATATATATATATATAAAGAGATATATATATATATATATAAAGATATAATATATATATATTTACTGGATGATGAATAAATTTATATAAAATAGAAAAAGGTTTATGCTGATTTACATTCAAAAATTTAGAGCTTAGTGTTATATTTTTTAGGAAAATACGCCCACAAAACCCGAAAAAACCAAAAATGCAAGTACTCGGGAACTAAAAGAGCTAAATAGTTAGGCTTAGGAATACGTATTTTAGAAATGCAATTGCAACTTCCCACGAGGTCACAGCTCTTCCATTCTCACGCTACTGCCGTTGCAATTCTGCCGTTGACGTTCTGTCCCTGCGCTGTCGCCCTGATGCTCTGATGCCGTTGGTCTCTGAATGACGTTTGGTCTCTGCATTACCGCTGCTGTCCGATTACCGTCAAATAAAACTTAAAAACAAGAGGAAACGCTTTAGTCGTTTGTAGCGACTATAAGATACCCGTTACTGTTTTACACAACTTTAAAATATTCATTGTGCTTATGGAAATTCCCAAAGCGCATCCTATTGTCGGAGAAAGCATGTTGAGTAACAGATAGTGACGATATGAGGCCTTATAACCTAAATTTCTTCATAAATAGCGAAATAAGATTCTGATTAAAAAGTCTTTGGCGAATCGATAGATATTAACAGAAAAAAGTTATACAAGGTCAAACGAAGGCATTCATAATAATATTAGATTGTCAAAAGTTCTTGTTTTATTCGTCGCATCAGGTCATACTATACCTTTTTACGCTAACACGTGTTTGATTGATTATCTTTTCTTTTAAGTCGTTCGTGAGTTATAGCGTCGCAATCATGGAGCAAAATAAAGAGAAAATACAGCATATTTTATAGCCGCCAATAAAATTTGTGCAGTTTATGGACCCGATACAGTTTCCATTTCCACCGCACAACGATGGTATCAACGTTTTCGTTCTGGTGTAGAGGTGGTCGAAGATGCGCCACGCTCCGGAAGGCCTGTCCTCGAAAATTGCAATAAAATCGCTGAATTGGTCGAAAGAGACCGGCATAGTGGCAGCCGTAGCATCGGCCAAGAGCTGGGCATGAGTCATCAAACCGTTATAAACCATTTGAAGAAGCTTGGAGTCACTAAGAAGCTCGATGTATGGGTGCCACACGAATTGACGCAAAAAAACATCTTTAACCGTATCGACACATGCGAATCGTTCCGAAATCGCAACAAAATCGCTCGCAACCTGTCCCGCTTATGTATAGTTTTTGACTCGCTCGCAACCGCTTGCAACTTGCCCCGCTTAATATATAGTTTTTGACTCGCTCGCAACCGCTTGCAATCTGCCCCGCTTAATATATAGTTTTGTACTCGCTCGCAACCGCTTGCATCCTGCCCCGCTTAATATATATAGTTTTGTACTCGCTCGCAATCGCTCGCAACCTGCCCCGCTTAATTTGCCAACAAAATTAAAATCACTTCCGAAAACAACGCCTGCAAATCACGTCGGGGTCACCATGAAAATGAATAAGATTTTTTATTAAATTTTATTTTGTGAAATGCAGGGTCTATTTTAATTAATAATTCAAAATTGACTTTGCTATAACGAAAAGGCACGGCGCGTGTGTTTGAGAGGGAGTTTCGGTTTGAACTGTTTTATTTGACTTAAATGATCTTATGCTACGAACAGAAGACATAACGAGAGAGGGAGAGAGGAGAGCGGAGGCCGAATTCGCCTGAGCGAAAAAGCTTTATTGGGCCCCGCTCCCCTCTTTACACTAAAAGACCGGAATGACCAAACACCTGTAAATATCATTATTAATCCTTTTCAGAGCATTCCATTTTAGTTCAGTTACTAAAGAATCTTTTTTTAACAAAAATGTTGTGTTTGGTATTTGTCGGTATTGCACTAATCCGGACATAAATTTTAGGTAAGCCTTAGACAAATAAATTAAAAACAAATTTAGAAAACAACTGATATGAATTTACATAGTCTATGTATCACCGCCGAAGTAACTTATTGAATGACACTGACCTCAAATTTATGAGAATTTAATGAATTTTGAAATATAAACTTATTTTTTGGAGTAATTTATAAAATAGAAAAAGGTTTATGCTGATTTACATTCAAAAATTTAGAGCTTAGTGTTATATTTTTTAGGATCCAGTAAATATATATATATTATATCTTTATATATATATATATATATATCTTTTATATATATATATATATTCCCTTTTTATACCCGTTACTCGTAAAGTAAAAGTGTATACTAGATTCGTTGAAAAGTATGTAACAGATAGAAGGAAGCGTTTCCGACCCTATAAAGTATATATATCAGGATCAATAGCGAAGTGGATTGAGCCATGTCCATCTGTCCGTCCGTCCGTATGAACGCTGAGATCTCAGGAACTATAACAGACACAAAGTTAAGATTAACCATGAGGATTCTTGAGGTCCCGGGACAGCGCAAGTTTATTTCAGCATCCTGCCATGCCCACTCTAACGCCCACAAATCAAGAAAAACTAAAATCTGAAATCTCGGGAACTATTAGAGTTAGAAAATTGAAATTCAGTATGAATAAACTTTGGATGCCAGCTCATCTTTTAGTGGTACTATTATACGGATACACCCACACATACGTCCACCAATGAAAAAACGGTTTTCGCATTTTCAAGAAAACGTGATATCTTGGTAACTAGAAAGTTTGGATTGAGCATGTAGGTTCTTATGAATTGTTTTTGTTTTCCATCTAGCCACGCCCACCCTAACGCCCACAAAACCCGAAAAACCAAAAATACAAGTACTCGGAAACTAAAAGAGCTAGATAGGCTTAGGAATACGTATTTTAGAAATGCAATTGCAACTTCCCACGAGGTCACAGCTCTTCCATTCTCACGCTACTGCCGTTGCAATTCTGCCGTTGACGTCCTGTCCCTGCGCTGTCGCCCTGATGCTCTGATGCCGTTGGTCTCTGAATGACGTTTGGTCTCTGCCTTACCGCTGCTGTCCGATTACCGTCAAATACAAGAGGAAACGCTTTAGTCGTTTGTAGCGACTATAAGATACCCGTTACTGTTTTACACAATTTTAAAATATTCACTGTGCTTGTGGAAATTCCCAAAGCGCATCCTATTGTTGGAGAAAGCATGTTGAGTAACAGATAGTGACGATATGAGGCCTTATAACCTAAATTTCTTCATAAATAGCGAAATAAGATTCTGATTAAAATATCTTTGGCGAATCGATAGATATTAACAGAAAAAAGTTATACAAGGTCAAACGAAGGCATTCATAATAATATTAGGTTGTCAAAAGTTCTTGTTTTATTCGTCGCATCAGGTCATACTATACCTTTTTACGCGCTAACACTTGTTTGATTGATTATCTTTTCTTTTAAGTCGTTCGTGAGTTATAGCGTCGCAATCATGGAGCAAAATAAAGAGAAAATATGGCATATTTTACAGTACTACTACGATAAAGGCAAATATGCATCTCAAGCCGCCAATAAAATTTGTGCAGTTTATGGACCCGATACAGTTTCCATTTCCACCGCACAACGATGGTATCAACGTTTTCGTTCTGGTGTAGAGGTGGTCGAAGATGCGCCACGCTCCGGAAGGCCTGTCCTCGAAAATTGCGATAAAATCGCTGAATTGGTCGAAAGAGACCGGCATAGTGGCAGCCGTAGCATCGGCCAAGAGCTGGGCATGAGTCATCAAACCGTTATAAACCATTTGAAGAAGCTTGGAGTCACTAAGAAGCTCGATGTATGGGTGCCACACGAATTGACGCAAAAAAACATCTTTAACCGTATCGACACATGCGAATCGTTCCGAAATCGCAACAAAATCGACCCGTTTTTGAAGAGTATGGTGACTGGCGATGAAAAGTGGGTCACTTACGATAACGTAAGGCGCAAACGGTCGTGGTCGAAAGCGGTGAAGAGGCCCAGACGGTTCTTCTGTGTGTTTGGTGGGATTGGCAGGGAATAATCCACCATCAGCTGCTCCCCTATGGCTAAACGCTCAATTCGGACCTGTACTCCCAACAACTGGGCCGCTTGAAGACAGCACTCATGCAGAAGAGGCCATATTTGATAAACAGAGGCCGAATTGTCTTCCACCAGGACAACGCCAGGCCACACACATCTTTAGTGACGCGCCAGAAGCCGGGAGCTCGGATGGGAGGTTCTTTGCATCCACCGTATAGTCAGGATCTCGCACCATGTAATGTGTGGGTGTGGCCGGATAGCCACTATGCGCTGCCATCTAAAGAATATATATTCTAAATTTCAACTTTCTAGCAATAATAGTTCGTGAGATTTCAGCGATTTTAGTTTTTTTAGATTTGTGGGCGTTAGAGTGGGCGTGGCAGGATGCTGTAATAAATTTGCGCTGTTGTACCTCAACAGTCTTCATGGTTAATCTCAACTTTGTATCTCTTATAGTTCCTAAGATCTCAGCCTTCATACGAACAGGCGGACAGTCGGACAGAGGGACGGACATGGCTCAATTAACTTCGCTTTGATTCTGATCAATAATATTTATACTTTATATAGTCGGAAACTCTTCCTTCTACCTGTTACATACTTATCAACGAATCTAATATACCCTTTTACTCTACGAGTAACGGGTATAAAAATCGCTTGAAGCCCTCACCCGGACTCTGGCCGATTGTAACTGCGTCATTAGTCAAAAAGAAACAGTTAAAAATTTTTTAATTAAAATTATTTTTGTTATTTATTGTACATTTTTTGTTTTATCTTAAACTATTAGCCAAAAACAAAACTTTTTTACAGAAAAAATTTTTTGCTCACACAAAGTCCGCATCACTGTTTTCATCATCCGAGGACTGAATTTTTCTTCGTCTCTTTTTACTTCGCAATTGATTCGGTTTGCGAACACCAGATTTTGAAGACAATATAGACACTTTTACATTATGAGATATTGGTACATCCAGCGCATTCTAAGCCACAAATAAATAAATAAACAAAATATGTAGTGGTAAGCCTCTGAACATTGCCGTTAATAAAAATAATCAAGTTTAAATTACATACAGTTGAGGTAAAAGAGTTTCCACCAATTGCGATATGGTCACCTTTTGTTGAATTTGCGTATCCAAAGCTATCAGAAGTCATCGAGTTATTTAATATAGACTTGTCGTGAGACTCATCAGCATCCGAGTCTGCATCTTCTGGATCCAATTTTAACATAAGTTTCTTAAACTAAAAAAAAAATTAGATTATTATTTTGAAAAGATCATTTTTCGATACCTACATCGAGGTACTTAACAACAAGGTCCAATTTCTCCTCGTTGGTAAATAAAAAATGGATGTCCGTGCTCAACATCTTTTGTGACAACTGTTTTTTAATAACGTCAATAGTTGTTTTAGGATTAAAGTCTGTTACGCTTTTACGTGTAACAGCTTTTTCATATAATTTTTGTTCGGATGGCGAATATCTTGAAATTTTACTATCAGTAATTCCGTACATGTTCTTTAAATGATCTTTTAATATTAAAAGGAGCATACATGCTTGAGCAGATGTTATACATTTTATTATTCCTGTCATATTTTCAGGCAGTCGATTAAACAAAACTTGGGGATCTTCAACGTCATCATCATCTTCTAATACATCTCCTTCTTTATCACTCGGTTTTAAATGTTCCTTAAACGTAGCAAGCAAATGAGTTCCAGCCATTGAGATAAATAAATCAATTTGATGTATCAGATATAGAGGCTCATCTTGAACCACATATGGAAAGTAAGCCAGATTGTCGGCAATATACAACATTTGTTGTAATGATGTTTTCTGGTCATCAAACTGTTTTGTAACTGTTTGTACCAAGGCACGTCTTTGTGGCTTAGTAGTGCGAAGAAGGGAATAAAGAAAGTCATTTAAAGCGGTTGTTACATTATCTGGTCCACGGTTCCTTAAATTGAAGTTTTTTAGTTATTTACAAAATAAATAAAATTGATGTACAGAAACTTACGAGTAACCTCTAATTATTTCAAGTTTTCCTTTGGTCATCTGCAAGACTTTTTGCAACTTAAAGCACAACTGAAGACCAAATTGCACTTTCATATTAACAAATCCAGAATACGTCTTATCAATATCTTTTAACAATGCATCCGCTCTATGTGCGGACTATTATAATATAATATTAAATTTGTTAGGAGATTTAAATCAAAAAGAATATCTTTATAATACTAACCTCTATCTTAGGATCAGTACTTAGACATATTAAATACGGAACCATTCTAACGGGGTGAACCAATCCTTGACGAAGCACAATCTGTATTACTTTAACAGCCCACAAACGTACTGTGTGATCCCGATTAAGAAAGCACTCAAGAATCTCTTCCAGATAAAGCTGAATTATTCGACTTGCCATTCCAGAGGAAACGTCGTTCATTTCCTTAAGATCTTCGTGTTTCGATTGTTTTTCCCCTTTAAAATATATAAATTATTTTGTATTTTTAGCATTAAACATTAATAAAAATGTCTTATATTACTATAGGTCGATTAAATCAGAGTACAGGAAGTAATCGAAATCAAGACCCGCTACTGTTATCCAAATTGAAAACATTTATCCTGGTAGAAATTGAAGCCGTCACTAAGGTCATCCCTTTTATGATTCCCAAAAAAAATTGTATTTTAATATGATAGACAAATTTGTTAAAAAATTGTGAAATATTTGTGAACTTGAAAAGTTTACAAAATTTGGTTTGCGCAGACGGAAAGTCGGACGGACATATGGATGAGGCGTATATAAATTTGAAACAAATGTGAAAGGTATATACTAACATTCTTTCTCTTTATTGTGCATAAACATTTCAGATTCTGTTAAATAAATCCAAATGTTACGCATGCAGATTATTTTGAACCCGGCATCGTTCGCCGTGGAGCTTAGTATGTCACAATATAAAATTTTAAGTTCCGATCTAGTAAGGTAGTCATCGTTTAATACACAGAAAGATCCAAGCGAGATAAGAGCTTGCTTTCTTATTTCATGATTATCACAACTGCAGAAGAACATCAGACAATTGAAGACATCATCGCATATTGAAATAGGCAGACCACCAAATGTCTCACCTAAAAGTATAAAGATGGAATTATCATAATTTATTAAAAGTTACATACCTAAAGCAATAGGAGACTTAAAATCAAAGTATCGCATTAGTATTCCAATCGTAAACAAACTTCGCCGAAAGCTGGGAGTGTAAATTGTATCTACACTTAAGTTTCCTTGCAGTACTTGATTTCGAGAAACATCCAGAACTCGATAAAACCTAAAAATAAAAATAATAACTTTTTATGATATATTCATAAAATATTGACGAGTTTACATATAAATGTGCTAATATAAAAAAATATAAAAAATTAAATAAAAATAGTATAAGAGTGACCGATATAAGGGCAGAAAAGTTCGGATATACTGAAAGCTAATAAACATTATAGGCAAAGGCAGAACAAGCTCAGTTGTTTTATACACGTTTCCATATACCCAAAATTATTATTCCAATACTAATAGAGTAACGGAAAAAAAAATCGAAATTCTTGAAAGGGACCGATTCAAATTATCCATGTATGTCAGCTGTCTGCCTGTCCATATAAATGGTAAGACCGTGGACCACAAAAACTTGTTTAAAAGAGATTAAGGTCTATGTTTTTGTTTGCCCTTAAATAATATTGACTTGAACACGGTCTAAATTTTTGAGACCAAAAGTTATTATTTTAAATTGGATAACAAGGTAATTGGTATGTTATGGTTGCGGCAATCGGGTTTAATTTAATTAATTATCATCATTTATGTATTTATTAAAAAATATGTAAAATGTATATTCTTAATCAGGATAAATAGCCGAGTCGATTTACCTATTTCCGTATATCCATAAGCATAATAATTACTGAGGTGCTATGCAACGCGACTTTGTTTCAGAGTGCTTTCACTAACTTTAATTAATGTCAAAAAAATACGCAAAACTAAACTTTTCAAGAAGGTAGAACTAGCAAGGCAGATTCTTGAGATGCCAGCGCATAATTGCCCCCACCATAAACATTTTTCAAAATATGCCAAAACAATATAAGGATAAGTTAGTTTTCTAGATAAAGTAATTATTTCTTAGTTACATAAAAAACAAGAAGAAACTCTATAGTCAAGTGCCGCGACTATAAGATACCCGTTACTGTTTTACACAATTTTAAAATATTCATTGTGCTAGTGGAAGTTCCCAAAGCGCCACCTATTGACTTGCACTGCGTAGGGACCTCAAGAATCTTCATGGTGAGATCTCAGCGCTCATACGGACAGACGGACATGGCTCATTCGTCTTCGCTATTCATCCTGATCAAGAATAGGGTCAGAAACGCTTCCTTCTACCCTTTACATACCTTTCCACGAATCTAGTATATACTTTTACTCTACGAGTAACGGGTATAAAAACTACACGCTTAATCCGAACTTTATTCACTTATAGTTACCGAGATATCAGCTTTTATTGAAAATGCGAAATCTGTCTTTTGAACTTGGTGGGCGTAAGAGTGGGTGTAGCCGGATAATACAACCATAAGATGCGCGGGCATTATACATACTGAGTTTCAACTTCCTATTTCTTATAGTTCCTGAGATCTCAGCGTTCATACGGACAGACAAACGGGCAAGGCTCAATCGTCTTCGCTTTTGATACTGATCAAGAATAAGCCAAATAAGCAGGGTTTAACTCAAGTGGACCTGTGAGTCCTGCCGCGAAATGAAAATTAAAGGGGGAGCAATTATGGTGTGTTAAAAAACTTACAGAAAGTTATTAGCCGTAAAAGATAAATTTAGCAGTAAGAAGATACTTAATAAATCGCCGAAGCGTAAAAAACAGGTTAGAGGGATGCCCAAGGTCCATTTCACACAAATTCCCATTTGTAGTTTCTGCTCCAAAACAGAGAGAAATAGAGGACAGAGAAATATAAATCATTTGCCTATTTCAATACCTGTGACCAAATAGTAGACGGTTCCTTATCGCTGGCATATCAAAAATTTAGGAGACTTAATTCTAAGCTTTATATTGACTTCTCTGCGTTTAAGATAATATTTTATCATATTCTGAGACTTGGCTTAAACCAGAGATATCCCACTCTAAAGTTTTTCCAAGCACTTTTAATACTTATAGAACAGATCGGACTTCTGTATTACATCTGAGAGGATTTATCTTAATTTTAATAAAAAAAAATTGAATTTTTAAGGGTAAGTCTGCTTGCAATGTTTTTATTTCTGTTACTTGTTCTTACATTTTTCATGGATCGGATCGGTCAGTGACCGTAAGTGTAACTTTACTGAACTAAATTTATTGATTTCTGAGTACAAGTGGACATATTTATACAATAGCATGCATATTGAAACAGCATTGGAAATGTTTTATGGTGATTTACACTAATTACGAATGTGTTAACAAGAAAAAAGACAACTTTTTAGTAATGTCTTTGACTCTGTGAAATAAAGCCTTGTTCTGCTTAAATTAGATAAGCCAGGGCCTTTGAACGACTTTCTTTTCGTTTTGGTTTTCTGTTAGGCGCATTACGATCGTGAATCGATTATTTACGAGTGACGCTCGCGCAGAGACTCAATAAAATACTAATTGACTGAAAAGTTACCGTCTTTTGAATACTTTGCCTTCGTTAAATATAAAAAATGTATACACTTTTTATTAATTTACTTCCCATTTCTAATCAATGCGCACAAGCGAGGTTCACAAAGCCAAGGGACGCGCAAAACTCTTGAAACTTCACATACACACATACATGAGCAAGATCACGGGCAAACGATTCGAGAATGAGCAGACCAAAAGAGAACAGAAAAACTGTTCTTCGGCTGAGCGCAAGAAAAATTTGTATACGTGTAATTTAATTCAGTTTTTTTTAGGAGAACGGCCGTAGCTATGGGTGGGGAGATCTCTGAGTCGTGAATGGCTAGTGTTCCAGCTTAAAGACCGACCGCGCAAGCCTATTTGGATCACCCTGTACCTTAATCGTGCTTTTACATTATAGATTTCGTCGTTAACAGACTGAATGCTTTCATTACTTATGTGCCACGGTGCCCCAGTTACAGATCTCAGTATCTGTGAGATACCACAGCTCTGAGCCATATTTCTAAATTGGCTTGAGAATTGCGTTGTACAGAAATATTTGGTACTCCAATTTTAGCGGACTCCAATTTTTAGCGGTCATTTATTAACCAATGTAGGTTTCTTGCTTTTAAATTGTGTTTTGTTAGTCTATCAAGGTAGACTCCAAGATAAGTTACTTCAATTGTTTGTAGAATATGAATGTTGATTAAAGATAGCGGGGCACAAATTTGTCTGTTTAGGGTAAAAGTGCAGTGTTTACTCTTTTGCTCGATATCCTTTTTGTGCCAATCTGCTAGCCATTTCTCTAGAAACCCGATATGAGCTTATAACTGTTGCGTTGCATTTATGGGACACTTTGATCGACTTAGAATGGCAGTAACATCAGCAAATGTTGAGGTCGTAAGACAGGTTGTCGGAAGATCTGCTGTGTAAATTATATACAGTGTTGGTCCAAGCACGTTACCTTGAGGTACTCCAGCTTTAATTGGATGGTTTTTCGAGAGGAAATCTTTACATCGTACTGCAAACTTTTAAGCACAAGTTATTACTCCAGTATTTTATTAGTGTTCTGTGGAAGCAAGATTTTAATTTTATAAACAAAGCCGTCCAACCAAACGCGGTCGAGCCTGGGCGACATTCAGAAAGACTGCCGAACAATACTCTCGACTTTCGAATGCATTTCGTACCTCGGAGGTATTTCAATTTTCTTGTTCAATAGTTCCGTGTTTCTCACCAAAAAACAAATTTGTGGCTTGGAATGGCATTATGGGACTGTAGGTGTATGATTCAGGAGCAGCTTTTCAAATACCTTTGATAGGCACGGCAGGAGACTGATTGGCCTATAGTATGAGGGCTGGGACTTGTCCTTTCTGGCTTTGTGGATCATAGTGATGACAGACATTTTCCATTGTTGAGGATATTAGCCCAATTTCATAATGCTGTTAAATATTGTAGTGAGAAGATTTACTGCACAGTTCAGCAATTCTATAATCATTTTAGGGGAAATTCAATTGTGTCCTGGCGCTTTATTTATTTCTGCGCCCTATCATTTTTATCACTTCTCTTGGAATATGATAGGCAGGGTAGCCTCTGGAAAGATGTTTGATGGGAACACAAAGCTATTTGTTGGTGGGATTGGTTTGAAAACGTTTTCTAGATGTGCGGAAAATACATTTGCCCTCTCTCTTCATTGCTGCGAGCCCATTCTCCTGTTTGTGTGTCTAATGCGACTCACTTTTGATTGGTTGACATACGCCTGATTTAGCTTTCCACAGTGCAAATCGTTTGCTATTTGGGGAGAGATGCTGCAAATAGGATGATTAAGATCGATTACATTCATCTTCTAAGGCTGTGCGTAGAAAATAGTTTGATATTTCGCCCTTCGCTTATTGCCTAGCATTACGTTAATGTGCCCAAAAGTCCTACAGTTGTTATTAGGATTACAGGCTGGTATAATAGGACTGGATTGTTGTGCAGCTAGTGACATAACAAACACTAGTTCTTTAACTGAGCTGTCAATCTCTTCTCTTTGATACATGTTTGGGAAGCCACTTACTTACGTACTTTCTGGATTTAAGCCAATCTGTTTTACGGGAGCTTATATGCATTCTGAAAGCTGTGGGTGATCGTACAGACGAAGAAAAGTTGGCGAGTGATCCGATAACAAATCTGTTAAGTGTCTCTAGCCACTCGTCTTGTGACGGCAAAATCAATCAAGTCAGGCTTCTTATTAGGATCTGCTGGCCAATACTTAGACTTACCAGGAGGGGTAAGACCAAGCCTGTTTCTCGGTGTTATTATAGCGTTGTTCAGCTCTCTTCCTTTGGGGTTGGGTGAGTCAATAGCCCCAATGGGTGTGTTTTGCATTGTAATCACCAGCCGCTAAAAAACGGTCATTTAATAGGTCAAAAAACTGTACAAATTCATCTTCTGAAATGGAAAAGCGTGGAGGGCAGTATACAGCGGATAGGTTTAAGAACACCGATGTGTATTAATGTAGCTTGTACACAGGCTGTTGCAAATGATGACAACTCATATGCCTGATTCGTCTCTTCATCAGTATGCCAGTACCGCCATGAGCCTTCCCATCAAGATGGTTTGTTTCATAAAATGTATAGCCATTAAAGTGAAAATAGTTTTTGTTTCTTAGGTGATATAAACATAGCGTCAGTGTCATACTGATGAAAAACTGCGATAGCTCGTATTTGTGCTGTGAAATGCCGTTCGCATTCCAGAAACACATTTTTAAGGAAAACATCTAAGCATATTTCTATTTGATTAATAGCTCCAAATGGAGATTTTGAGTTTTTTAACTTCCTGCAGCGTTTGCTGTATTGCTACCATTGTGTTGGTTATAGTTACCAGCATTACTTCTACGCTGTTAGGCAATAGTGTGTTTGCATTTGAATGTTGGCCAGTACTTTCTGTATTCTGGTTCAATATTGGTTGCCGCACTGTATAAGCAGTAGCTTTGCTGACATGTCATGTGTAACTTCATTGTTTTTCAAGTGCATACTCATACTCCCGGGTCCAACTCTACCTTGAACATTGGCTGAGGAACTTTGTTTTTATTTAATATATTCCTAACCTGTTTGACGTTAAAGCTCTTTTCTTTAAGTCCAGCTACAATCTACTTGTGGGCTTAATTTTTCTTTTTGTTTGCACATATCAATGACCCGTTTTTGTATTTCTGGGTAGGGTAGTTTGTCAGTAAGAGCTGACGAAACAGAAAATGCAGTTGATGTGGTGGTTGTTGTAGTGATTGTTGTTGTTGTTAGTGTCGAAGTCACCGTTTTAAACGAGGGCATTGCTGGTCGTTGTTATAATGATCGTTGGTTATGTTGTAGGGGTCGGGGGACGGGCATTGGGCACTTCAATAGCTGTTTTTGTGATGTGCCGCTTAGACATAATAATCCGTGAGAGAGCGAACGTGCTCTCTCCGTACCCTTGAAGTGTTGCAGATGTTTCCGGTTCTGTTAACTCTCCCGCTCTTATGTAGAAGTAAGCGTTATTTCTGATTGACGAGAGCCGACATTCGCCTTGTTGTTAATGCCAAGGCTTGCTTATTGTGGTTTCTCGAGAGAGATTTGTAACAAATTGTATTATCGCTTATATTAGTAAATAGAACACTTTATATTGGACATTTCCAATGCACATGAGCACAAGTACCCATGCGTACTATTTGTGGTGTATTTTTATACCCGTTACCCTTGGAGTAAAAGGGTGTACTAGATTCGTTGAAAAGTATGTAACAGATAGAAGGAAGCGTTTCCGACCCTATAAAGTATACATGTCCGTCCGTCCGTCCGTCCGTCCGTCCGTCCGTCCGTCCGTCCGTCCGTCCGTCCGTTTGTCCGTCCGTCCGTCCGTCCATCCGTCCGTCCGTATGAACGCTGAGTTCTCAGGAACTATAGCAGATACAAAGTTGAGATTAAGCATAGAGATTCTTGAGGTCCACATGAAGCGCAAGTTTATTTCAGCTTCCTGCCACGCCCACTCTAACTCCCACAAAAAAAACTAAAATCGCTGAAATCTCACGAACTATTAAAGCTAGAAAGTTGAAATTCAGTATGAATAATTTTGAGGTGCCAGCGCCATTATGCGGCCACACCTTTCATACGCCCACCAAGCCAATTGATACATCGTCAACTATAAGTGATAGAAAGTTCGGATTAAACAGGTAGGCTTTTATGATGCCCCTTATGCGAAAGGTTTTTGTCCGAATACGTATTTAAAAGATGCCACTGCAACGTGCCCTTAGTTTTTATCCGGCTACACCCACTCTAACGCCCACAAACCGCAGAAAACTGTGGCGTCCCTAATATTATAGTGTATGTCTTCGTTTGACCTTATATAACATATTTTTGTCAATATCTATTTACCAAAGATTTTACAAATCGGAACATTATTTCGCTATTTATGAAGAAAGTTATGTTATAAGGCCTCACATGGGCATTAACGTCACTATCAGTTACTCAACATGCTTTTCCCGACAATAGGTGGCGCTTGGAGAATTTGAACAAGCAAAATGAATATTTTAAAATTGTGTAATACAGCAACGGGTATCTTATAGTCGCGGCACTCGACTACTATGTTGTTTTCTTCGCGTAGGAGCGAAATAAAAACACGTCTGTTATTATTGACAGTTGGTCACGCGAACAGCTGATCGCACGAATCGGTTAACAGTTATTTGCGAGTTATGCCTACAACGCTTAACTCGGATCAAAAAATAAGGTTGCCTTCTTACCACTGAATATTGGTATTGCTGCTATAAGCTGGTTAATCGTATAATTATACTAAGCTCAATTTTTTGCATAATCTTGTCGGAGGTGATATTAGCGCTGTAGAATTAATTAAATTAATTACTTTCAGTATTTTTAAACTTTAGTAATAACATAACTAATCACTATGCTGACATCTTAGAATATTCATGCTTAGTCCCAACTTCTTAGCTCGTATAGGTCCTGAGATCTCAGCAAATTTAGTTTTGTGAAACAGGATCGTGACTCCATATTGTGCCCGGTGTACTATAAAACAAGAGAAAACGCTATAGCCGAGTGTCGCGACTATAAGATATACGTTACTGTTTTACACAATTTTAAAATATTCATTTTGCATGTGCAAATTCCCCAAGCGCCACCTATTGTCGGAGAAAGAATGTTGAGTAACTGATAGTGACGTCACTGCCCATGTGAGGCCTTATAACTTAAATCTCTTCATAAATAGCAAAATAATGATCCGATTTGAAAATTCCTGGGGTAAATCGATAGATATTAAAACTTTGTAGCTCCTATAGTTTCCGAGATTTTTGCATTTTTGGTTTTCCGGGTTTTGTGGGCGTTAGGTTGGGCGTGGCTTAATGGGCAAAAATTAATTTGCATTTGGAGCATCATAAAAACCTACATGCTTAATCCGAACTTTCTATCGTTATAGTTACCGAGATATCAGCTTGTCTAGAAAATGCGAAATTTATTTTTCCTCGCAATTTACAATATGATAAAAAGGACAAGTTAATACATGGTAATACGTACTTTTGAAAACAGTCTCGAATCAGTTTGAAGTTATGTGTAATCTTATTCACAAGAGCTCCTAAGCAAGAAACACAACTAGTAACCTCGGCTTGATTTCGTGATACAACTAATAACATTAAATGCTCTTCCAAAGCTGCCAAAAAAGATTCACTGGCATTATTAACCAGAGGAACTACTTTTTCTAAAATATCCGCTACAGCACATATGAATTTTGCAGCTGTGGCAGAATGACATTTTATGTTGAGATAAGGTTCTATTGTCATAGCATGCCTAACTAGTAATTGCGGCCGCACTTTAGCTAGCAAATGAAGTGTGGTAATGCAACCCAGCATTCGCGCATTATCTGTGTCTTCCAATTCAATTAGCCGGTCAACTAGACCGTCAGCTAATTGTTGACAAGCTATTACAATATCCATTGGAGGCTCCGTATTTTTCTTTACAGGCTCTTGAACGCATACATCAGTCTTTAAATTATTATCTTTTGGTTTGAAAATCTAAAATATAAAAATATTAATCTTATTTTTATTAGGAAAATTAGTTTAACTTACACTCATAAGAAGGCCTTCTAGCCAAGTAGTTCCAGTATCATGTGCAGTATTTACCACGTCAATTATTTGATTAATTTTTCTCTGCATGGCCATCTAAATAAAAATTTTAATTATTATTTTTATAGCCGTTACTCGAAAAATAACAGGGTACATAGTATTCGTTCAAAATGAGACACGTAGAAGGAAGCATTTCCGAGCACGGAAGGTCAAAACATTTGAATCTAGATCAGAAACACTAACCGAGTAGATTTTGCCACCCCTTCTTTGATGATCGTTTATCTCTCCTGATGTATCTCTTGGATTGATCAATATTTAAAATGAACTTGTATTTTGTTGTAAATTAACCAAAAAATCTAAACTTCGCGCAATTTTTTTTATTACCACCCGGCGTTGGTAAAAAAAAATTGATACTTTAAACGACTATCAATTTGGTGGTTGTTCAATAATTTTTTATATAAAATTCCGATGCTAACTCATTCCTTCGAAACTTAATTTGTATAAGAAAAGAACAACAAAAAACAACCTTAAGTTACAGGGCTCTCTTAGAAACATGCATCTTAACATTCTAGGAGTTATAGCTCCCGAGATATCTGAGTTCAATGGACAAAACGAAAGTCTTGACCATGACTTGACCAGCAGAGCTAGGGATTACTTAAAGTATCTAAGTTTCTTTCTAAAAGTTCCAGAGATCGCAACGATTTTAGTTATTCGTGAATTATGGGCGTGGCAGGATGTTGAAATAAACTTGCTTTACGTAGGCATCTCAAAAATGTGCACGTCTAGTCCAAACATTCTGTCTCTTCTAAGATCTAAGCGTTCAAACAACTCGGCTACTGATCCTGATCAAGAATATATATATCTTATAGGGTCGAGTAACGGGTATAAAAATCTCACATAGGCAGTGACGGTAAATATATATATAGTTCTTGCAACTAAAGGGTGTTTTTTTAGAGGTATAGGACTTTACATTTGTATTCGATAGATAATCTCGTGGCACTACATTTTAAATATGATTTCTGGCATATGACCGCAACGGCTGGCTCGGATGTATTCCAATCTGGACGCCCAATTTTCGATGACTTTTTCCAACATTTGTGGCCGTATATCGTCAATAACACGGCGGTTTTTCAAAGCGTTTGTGACTTATCCGAATAGACCAATGACTTTACATAGCTTCTTCTGTACGCACCGTACGGCGTCTCTGGGGATGCAAGTTATAAGTTATTTATACCTCTAAAAAAACACCCTTTATATTGTTTTAAAAATTATTAGAACAGTTAACCATATTTTAAATTCGTAGCCATTGATTATATTCAAAAGATATTTCATAAATTTCTCAAAAGATAATATTTACAAAATTTGTCCAATGTACATTAATTTGACGATTTCATTTATTATTAGTTTTACAATTTGCAAAATATTTAATATTACAAAGAGGCGGTCCATAAAAGAAATGCAATTTGAATAGGTTTCCAAATGGAAATGCCTTAAAAATTTTTCGTTAGTGCTAGCATAAATTACGATGTTTATTGATATTGTTAAGCAATTGTTCAATGCAAGTGAAACGAAAAGTATTGTATAATGCTACTATTTTATTCATGTGTAATGTACATTGGACAATGCGATCACCAATATATATGGCTATGGAATGCATCTATCAGATTTATTTTAGTAAACACGTGACTAACAATAATAATAAAAATATGTAAAAAAAATTATTAGTACTGACTTTATCATTTTTAATACATGGTGTGAACCACATTTTCATAAAAACTTCAGTAACAAGCTTTTGAATGCCTTCTTCGTCATTAACACGTCGTATCATTTTTACGCAAATTTCGGGAATTTTTGCAAAATCTGGATATTCTACACATATGTCTCGTAAAATTTTGATGACTCTTTTTCGTACGGAGACTCCAGTATCCTAAAAAATAATCAATTAATGTTTAATAAAGTTCTTTGGGTACGTGTCCTACCAAAATTCGAGTTGACAGCATGTCGTAATATTGATCGATTAACTCTTGATTACTTAGCACGAATTTTCCAACCAAATCTACAGCCGCTTCTCGTACAGATATAGCTGTATCAAGAAATTTTTGATTTACTCCCATTTGCATGTCTTTTCGTTTTAACACCAATGGATCAACTTCCACGATGCTTGCTAGGCATTTCATTGCACGTGTCCTTATTGCTATTGATGGTTCACTGTGTTATAGAAAAAAAGTTATAATAAGTAAAGCTGTAAGAATAGGAGAAAGATTTCATATACTCACTTAACGACTAAAATAATTTTCTTTAAGCATCCATCAAATGATTGACTAAAAGGCCGTTTGGTGGCTAGATATTGCGCTATCAGCTGTGCATTATTGTAATCTATGTATGTTTTTATGTGCTGATTTGATGTAAAATTTTGGTCGCCGAAAACTGAAAACGGCTTAATTTTGTTTATTAAATATTGTTTTCTTTCTTCTAGTGCGTTAACAATATCAACATTTAGCCGAATATCAGTATCGTCAGAAGAGGGGTTTCTATTCTTTTTTGATTCTTCGGTATCAATTTCATCGCATGAAGCAGAGTCAGATGTATCCAAATATTCACCTTAAAAATTATATAAATTAAGCATGCAAAAATATGTCAGTATGAATATTTGATAACATATAGTAGTTAGAATCAGTCAGTATGAATATTTGATAACATATAGTAGTTAGAATATTGAAATTCAGTATCATCAAAATATATTAAAATATTAGGAGCCAAATAAAACAATCTTATTTCTAAATTCTGAATTCGGATTATCTAACTTTAAAAACTATCTCCCAAAAATTTCAACAATTTTAGCAAATATTGATTCCGTGGTAAATTTCATTAGAGCAATTTTTGTGAGAAACGTTTAATTACTGAAGGTAACGTTTGCGCCCATAACATAAATTTATCAATATAATGTGAAATAATGTACCGATTTGAATTAATTTTGGTAAAACAACAGATATAAACAAAAAATGTTACAAACAAACAAATTTTAATATTATGGACGTAACAGTTTTCCGCGATTTGTGAACGAAGATGTAACCACCTTCAACTGCGATGGCATCTATAGAATATTTATGATTAATCCTAACTTTCTAGCTCTTAAAACTCAAAGAAGGAAAAATATTACGCCTCGGTGGCATCATTGAAATTTTCATCCCAACGTTTTATCACGTATAGTTACCGAGATCTCAGCGCTTTTAGAGAATACGGCTACCGAGCTTGGTGGGCGTAAGAGTCGCCGTGGGCGGATAATGGTGCCACTTTATATTGAACTGGCACCTGAAGAATATGCATGCTTAATCCCAACTTTGCAGGTCTTGATCAAAATCGAGCTATTTCAAATTTCTTTTAAAAAGACTAATACACCTTTTTACTCAAGAAGTAATCCGTATAGTTTATACATGGGTATACAAATTTCAACATTTACGATTTACATTTTGAAATAGCAAAACATAATACTGTAAAGTTGTGAGTAATAATTTTTATGTTTCTATTTTTATACCCGTTACTCGTAGAGTAGAAGGGTAAACTAGATTTCTTGAAAAGTATGTAACAGGTAAAAGGAAGCGTTTCCGACCCTATAAGGATATACATTCTTGATCAGGATCAATAGCAAAGTCGATCAAGCCTTGTCCGTCCGTCCGTCCGTATGAACGCTGAGAGCTCAGGAACTATTAGAGATAAAAAGTAGATACTAACCATAAAGATTCTTGAGGTCCACACGCTACTCTAACGCCCACAAATCACAAAAAAAAAAACGCTGAAAATCACGCTAAAATCGCTGAAATCTCACGAACTATTAAAGCTAGAAAGTTGAAATTCAGTATGAATAATCTTGAGGTGCAGCGCATCTTATGGTAATGCCATTATCCGGCCACACCCACACACACGCCCACCAAGTTTGAAAGACGGTTTTCGCATTTTCTAGAAATGCTGAGATCTCGGGAACTATAAGTGGTAGAAAGTTCGAATTAAACAAGTAGGTTTTTATGTTGCCCCTTATGCGAATGTTTTTTTCCGATTAAGCCACGCCCACTCCAACGCCCTCAAAACCCAAAAAACCCGAAAATGCTAAAATCTCGGGAACTATAAGAGCTAAAAAATGTGCTTAAGAATACGTATTTAAGAGATGCCACAGCAACTTGCTCCTAGTTTTCATCCGGCTGCGCCCACTCTAACGCCCACAAACCGCGGAAAACGGTGGTGTCCCTGATATTATAGTGTATGTCTTCGTTTGACCTTGGATAACATGTTTTTGTCGAATTCTATCGATCGATTAGTCAATTTCTATCGTCGCTTCGTGAATTTCCACTAGCAAAATGAATGTTTTAAAATTAGGGAAAACAGTAACGAGTATCTTGAAGTCGCGGCACTCGACTATAGTGTTTCTTCTTGTTTAAATATCACAGTGTTAATATATTGCAAGGAAAATTTTCTAAAACTAACTTTGAAATATTATTTTTTTTGTATTTCTTAAAGTATCACAGTGTGAGTATTTTGTTTGCAAAATACTAATTATTCAACTTTTTAATATTAAACCAAAAAAATTCTAATCTAAAATTTTTAATCATACCATCAGCCCGATGTTTAGTCCTTTTACACTTTCTTAAAGTTAATCCCTTTTTACCATCCTTTATTCGGCGTCTTTGATAAATAACATCCCGATACCATTGTGACAAATAAAAGTGTCGAGCATAGTCCCAGATTAAATTTTCTTCTTGAGCATTTACAGCTAGAAAATCAAGAAGTATTTTTTGCAAAAATTCTGTTCGTTGCTCATCGGGATATAGTTGAAATCGATCCTGTAACGAACACCAAAATAATACAGTTTTTAAAACGTAAAAATTGCTTTTGTTACTCACACTTTTTTTTGTTGTATCGCCCTCTTTTTCTTGTTCTACTTTTATTGAATTAATCATTGAATCAATAATATTAACCTTACATCGTGATTCAACAATGTCCTTGCGCAGTCGAGCAGCTACTATACCCAGGTAATCTAATGAAACTAAACGAATGCTTTGTTCTATACCTTTATCAGACACGTACCGGACCAGCATAGTGCCCAATAAAGAAAGCAATAATTCAGATGCAGGCCATTCGGGCTTATTCACGGTAGCAAGTAAATCATGAATAAAATTTTCGAAGAGAGGGCGAAAATCCGTTTCATTAGATCGTGTTTTACATTTATTTAGAAAAGTGGTTAAGAAATTTCCGCCAATACTAACAGCAACATCGTATTTTTGTAATACTAGTATATCCTGATTAAGCTGTACTGACTTTCCGCTTGCAAGGTCTTCGGCAATAGCAGCACTCAGTTGAGGCTTATTACTTAATTTTCCATTATCACAAAGTGAGTCTGGTAAAATTGTCGCGCATTGAATTAATTGTAGCACAAGTGCTGTAACCATTTGAATATTTCCTCCATTATTTGAAAGCTTGTAGGGGCGAAGATTTTTTTTTGATGAAGATAAACGATCAATTGATGTCAAAATGTCTCCTAAGATGCTGTTTCTAATTTTGTCGTATTTTTCCTTGCGAAATATCTGGAAAGTTATAATATTTTTTATTATGGTTATTAATTATTATCTTATTTTAATTGAGCAAAATTAGCCTACTGAGGAAAGCAACCTTAATTTTGATACCACTTTAGACCAAACTTTAAGCAATAAAATAAATTTTTTGAAAAGGGTAAATGTATATCAAATTAGTTTTATAATGATCATCAAACATTTTCGATCACATTTTAACTGTAACCGTTATGTGGATATGGAACTGAAGTTTTCGGTCCAGGTCAACACATAAATTTTATACAATATATACACCAGAGAACGTCCCGGGTGTCTTCATCAAGCCATTACCTGCAAATTTATTACCGTTTTATGCAGATGTGTATAGGAATACAGATCATAAGTCAACCGCACTGCGAGTAACAGGTAGATAGGGACTTTCTGAAGAGGCTATATTCATGTATAATTATTGTGACTTCCTTCCTTTCATGTAAAACTATTCGGTCAATCCTCAATGAAAAACACGCGATAAAAACAAAGGCCGAGCTGAAGGTGGCTCTAATAGAAAAGGGGCAGAATATTGGGGCAGAAACAACCCAAAATTTCGTTTTTTCGATGCCAAGACGGTTGGAAGCGTTTATAAAACAAAATGGCTTACCCACAAAGTATTAGTTTTAGTTATTTTCATTTATTTTTAAGTTTTTCAACAAGTGGGCCAATAGTTTTGTTCAGGGAAATTCACCTCTTTTTTATGTTATTTAATTTTTAAAAATCAACCATTGAAGGTAAAATGTTGATATAAATTTTCTCGTGTTATTTTTTTATAATATTATATGTATAAATTTTTGTTTATTTAAATATCTAAATTTTAAGGGGAGAAATCGTGCCTAAAAGTTCATAAAGCCTTCTGTGCCAATAATTTAGTTCGTTACTGTACATAGGTCTATGCATATGAAAATGCGTTTTACTTCATCTGCCGACCTTTAAAATTTTTCCCATAGTGCCTTCCAACGGTGCTCTGGTCAACATTCAATCGTTCTACTAATTGTTCTTTCAGTCGCGATCAAACACTCCCCGAGTTAAGACGTGCCTAAAAGTTAAGCGGAAGCTAAAGCTATTATTATTCGATTTACAACAAAAACGAAACAAAACATTAGTACTGATAAGCACTTAAAAATCGTTGTTGTTAACATGAACAACGACGAAGACGACACATCGGCTTGGAGCTGGCAGACAGTAAGAGCGAAGCCGAAGGCAATCTAAAGAAAAAAATTGCCCTGGCCCATGCTACCAGCACGAGCTCCAATCAATACGCCCTCCTAAGCGACAACACGCTAAATAATGGAATTGAAGACTTAAGCGAAGCACTGGACTTGATAACTGAAGACACCTTAGATGAAACTACCAAGCCGCCACCTATATTCTTATCTGAAGTCAGTAATATAAAAGGAATGCTAGCTTATCTCGAGACAAAAATGAAAAAAGAACTTTTCTTTTATAAAGCTCAACGCGATGGTCAAGTAAGAATTATGTTAAGTCTATTGAAGAATACAGGAAACTTGTTAAAACTCTTTCTGGAATTTTGTCAAATTTCACACATATCAGCTCAAACATAAGAGGGCATTTAGAGTAGTTATTAAGAATTTGCACTTCTCAATGGATATCGACTTAATCAAACAAGATGTGGAGTCCAAAGGCCACACTGTTAGAAACATTAGTAACATTAAAAGTCGAGTAACCAACGAGCCATTGAACTTGTTCTTCTTAGATATTGAGCCCAACAATAAGAATTTAGATATATACAAAGTTAAACGCATTGGTAACGCAGTTGTTAATATAAAACCCCCTATAAAACCAAAGAAATCGTACAGTGCTATCGTTGCCAGGAATTTGGACACAGAAAGTCATTCTGTTCCAAAACTCACAGATGTTTAAAATGCTCTCTTAGTCATCCCAGTAACATTTGTCCAAAAGACAAAGAACAACCACCAAAATGTGCCAACTGCAATGAAGATCATGCTGCTAGTTACAAAGGGTGTAAAGTTTATCAGGAACTTATTTAAAAAAAAATAGTAAGCGGACGCAACCACCAACACCAACGATGACAATAAAGGAAATGACTACGCTACAACTCAATCATTTGCTCCGTCTAATAATTCGACTCAACAACCCAAGGATTATCAATCATACGCTCAAGCTGCTGCAGGAAAAAGTATCACAAACACGTCCATAGAAAGAATAGAACAGCTCCTGGAAAAACAATTTGAGCTTACGAATAATTTACTTAATATGATAATGTTACTCGTAAACAAGCTATGCAAATAAACCTAAACTTAGAAATATGGAATGCAAATGGGCTTTCCAACCATGTAAATGAAATATCCTTATTTCCTTATCCTTATTTAAAAACGAATGAAATTGACGTTATGCTTATCTCAGAAACTCACTTCACTAGCAAATCTTATTTTAGAATTATTTGATACGATACAGTAAGAGCTGATCATCCGTCATGGGGGTGCTCCAATTATTGTCAAGCAGGGCCTTAAGTTTCAAATCATGGACAGTACTAGGCAAAACGCTATGCAGTCGGCCACAATTAAGATAAAATGTATGCACGCGGATGTATCAATAACAGCGATTTACCTCCCTCCCAGATTCACAATAAAAGAGCTTGATTTTCAAAACTTTTTCCAAGGACTGGGCACAAAGTTTATTGTAGGAGGCGACTTCAATGCCAAACATCCATGGTGGGGTTCCAGACTGACTAACGAAACAATAATATACACACTTTGTCAACTGGTAAGCCTACATACTGGCCATCTGATAGTGTGAAAGTCCCAGACATAATTAATTTCTTAGTATTCTCTGGAATTCCACAATCACATATGCGAGTAATGGAAAGCTTTGACCTTGACTCAGATCATTCTCCAATAATAGCTACTTACAGCAGAATAGCTCATATGTTAGAAAAGCCCTACACAGTCATTTCAGCTTCTACAGACATTAACGCATTCAAGAGCTATTTAGACTCAGCTATAAGCCTGGATATTTCGTAAAAAACAGGAGAGGAGATTGACTATGCTGTGGAGCTTTTCACAAACACAATTCATAAAGCGAGCTACAGAAACACGGATTATACTCTTAATCATCAACAATCAAACCAATTGTACCTGTCTATCGAGATTCGACAGAAAGTAGAAAATAAAAGAAAACTGCGTAAACGGTGGCAAGAAACTCACTACCCTCCTGACAAAAGATTATACAACAAGGCTGCATCTGAGCTTAGTCAACTTCTGTCGAACTTACGCAATGAATCTCTAGCTGCGTATCTGAGAAATTTAGATCCTAATTCCTGCAACAACGAACACAACCTATGGAGGGCGACTAAATACCTAAAGAGACCAGCTAAAAGAAACACGGATATTCGTAATAGCAATGGAAATTGGTGTAGGTCTAATACCGAACAAGCGGAAGCATTTGCACAACATCTGAAATCGGTCTTCCAGCCCAACGATATTAATAATTCTATAACAGAGACCGAAGTAGAAAAATTTCTTGAGTCACCCTGCCAAATGAGCTTACCTTAAATGCTTAAAAAGCATCAAATATGAAGAAGTCGTAACAGAAATCAAAGAATTGAACAATAAAAAAGCACCAGGTCCTGATAAAATAAACGGCATCACCCTAAAAAGCTTACCAACAAAATGCATACAGTTTATCACCCTTATATTTAACGCAATTTTCAGATTAGACCACTCTCCAAGTCAATGGAAATGTGCAGAGATCATAATGATCCTTAAGCCAAACAAAGTGGAAACAGAGTTAACATCATATCGTCCCATTAGTCTACTGACAATATTCTCACTGGAAAACAAAATTCGCCTCTACAAAGCTATATTAAAGCCTGTTTGGACTTACGCTATACAGCTTTGGGGAACTGCTAGCAACTCAAATATTGAGATACTACAGCGCTACCAGTCAAAAACTTTGCGACAAATTGTCAATGCTCCTTTTATGTAACTAATGCAAATATCCACAAGGATCTCAATATCCCAACCATAAGAGAAGAAATAAATAAAATTAGTAAAAAATATATCGACAGACTCCATAATCATGAAAATAATTTAGCCTTAAGTCTAGTAGATAAGAAGAACTATTAAGAAGACTAAAAAGATACCACATACTAGATCTCCCCGATAGATAAATTCAATTAACAGAAACGATGTTGTATATAATAGCCGGGTTCACTGGAAAACTGCTATTCCTGTTATTTAATATTAATTATAAAATTTACTTATTGTTTATAAAAACCGATTGTAAATAAATAAAGAAAAAACAAAAAAAAAATTGTTCTTTGGGTTGTCCATCGTCCTGATCAAGCAACGCCTGCAATTCAGTGTCCTGAAACTTTGTTGATGGTCTTCCACGCTCTTCATTCTCAACTCCAAATTCACCGCTCCGGAATTTTTAAGGCCAGGCTTGGCATGCACACCGTAAGCTTCCACAAGCATTTTTTGGGCTTTTAAAGCAGTTTTCGTTAAAAGAAAGCAGAAAAGCAACGATGTCCGCCAATCGTGGTTTGTAGGTATAAAATTAGACATTTTCAATATTAGAACAAATTGATATTGGAAAATAAAACTCGCAAACACTTTTGAGCAGTGTTGCCAGATGTCAAAAGATGATAAACAAATGCTTACCAAAAATTTATTGATCACTATTGTTACAGATAATTAACAATGAAGTAAAACGCAGTTTTATACGCCCACCTCTCTTCGCTTGGCACGCTTGCCTATCAATGAGAAGGACGGCCGGCGCGCAGCGCACTCCGCTTCTCAAGCTTGACATAGTCTTCTAAGGATTATGTATCATGCGCAAGCAAAATAACAAATTGTATTTTAGATTTTGGTTTAACATTTATTGAAGTGCTTTGGGATATAGCCGTAGCAAAACAAAAAAATTTTTTGCTCCGCTCTCATCTCGATCTCAATTTTCGGCATTGCTACGGCTCCGCAGAGCACAGAATATTATTTTCTTCT